TGCAAACAAGAGCCTTTGTCAAAACAGTATAGGCTGGAGGGGGGAGCCCTAACTACATAATTTGCATTTCTTTCCTATAATATGTATAGCCAAACACATATTCCATGTTTAAATTGCTCTTAACAAAGTAGATTAACATTAATTGTTTGTAGATAAAACATTACTTGTTTGTAGATAAAACATTACTTGTTTGTAGATAAAACATTAATTGTTTGTAGATAAAACATTAATATCACAATCCTGATTAGATCAATACACCACATATTTGTGAACAAATAGTTTTAGGTTTTTGCACTTGATTAAAACAAAATAAAATCAAATAACAAAGCGTTTATTAAATCAATGTAATGCCTTGCATCAAATTCTTTGTTAAACTTGCTATTGTTTAATATTTTAGATAAATAAATTAAATAAATACATCTATGTTAGGTAATTTTTATAATTTTTTTGGTTCTGCGGCTCTCACATATCTGTGAATTTATATAGTAAGGAATCTTTTACCAAAATGCATTAAATTTTCTAACTATAAAGTTAGATAAGATGTTTAATTTTAAATTCCCCAATTTTTAACTTGTGTAATTTTGTTATGAATCCAATAGTTCTTGTATACTTTATAAATGCATAAAAAAATATAACTAAAAAACATTCTCTGTGCACATTGTTTTTGTTACTTTAAAAGTTTTTCATTTGTTTTATAACGTTGCCTTGGAGTTCGTATAACAGTTAAAAACATCAACACATCACTTATGTGTTAATGATGTAATTGTTTGTCACCAAATATAATAAACAAAGAAAACAACAAGCAGTTTTAAGACAAAGCCCCTTTCACATTTAATTACTAAAAACTAGCACTCCAAACAAAAAACTCCAAACTGAAACAGAAAAAAAAAATTCTATATTTTAATTTTATCAATAAGGCTTGTTAATAAGTTTTTCTTTCAAATATGTTTTATTTTCAAAATGCAATCATAAATGCAAGTGGTACACGTGTTATTGATGTACATACAGAATTAATTAAAAGAGTTATTTGGTACATGATTTCAGTAAAAACACAAAACCATTGCATTTTTTTACAATATTAATAAAATTTTCTACATTAAAATTGTTTAAAAGGTAATTGACGATCTCTAAACTACTTGTTTTAAAATCCAATTTATAATCCCAAAATCCAATTAATTTAACTGCTTGCTATGGCATGTTATAATCTACAAAGCATAAAAGAATTTAAACTACAATTTACTTCTAAAAATAGAAAATTTTGTTTTGATTATTATTCATATTTTCAATTATAAAGACATAACATGGGACATATTAATGCAAATCATTGCATTTTTTACAATACTAATAAAATAATTCTGCGTTAAAATTGTTTAAAATATAATTGCTCATCTCGAATCTACTTATTTAAAATCTAATTTATAATCTCAAAATCTAATTGATTTTAACTGTTTGTTATTGCATGTTAAAATCTATAAGACATAAAAGAATTGAAGTGAAAATTTCTTTCTAAAAACAAAACCGTTTGTTTTTTATTATTATTTCGATTTTTTTAATTATAAAGACATATCATGAGAGGTTTCCCTAAACAATTAAAAGAAAGAAGTAGTTTGCGTACGTCTAATGGATTGTTATTAATATTCTGAAATCCAATCACAAGAGTAAATCATAAAATAATAAAAAATAGTATTTAGTAATGCATCAAAAGGCATCATGTAGGAAGAGCTTTAAACTGCATTTGCATTAATAAATTACAGCAATCCCAGTGTGACTTTAAAGCCTCAAAAGAGCCTTTTATTTTTTATCAAAAGTCTCTAAAAATACCAAAATGAACTACAGAAAAGATAATTAAATTGAAGTATTTAGAGAGAAATGCAATTCTTTAATTTTCTGGGGAAGTGTTAGTTCATAAAAAATTCATTTTATAATTAACATTCAACAAATTACTATAAAGTCATTTTATATGATTAAATATGGTGCACAATTTCTAAAGAATCAATCCTGTAGTTGAGGCAATTGCATGACCATATCGAAAAATTCCAACTTTATTTACTTTAAAACTGTTTTTAGGCATAGGAAAAGATTTGAATATTATCTTTAACTTTTATTGCTTTTTAGTCGCATTATATTCTTGAGGCAATACTATTTTTAGAATATTTTATATGTGGCAGCTGTAGCAGTTTTTACCTGTTTTACCAGCAATTTTCAACTATAGCAGTTTTTATATGTGGTGCATGTATCTTAGTTATTATTTATAATATGATGTCTTAATCTTATTAATAGTTAATAAATATTACTATTGACATCTGTAATTTTTAACTTTTATCTGAAAAATGCGAAATATAATGTACAAGGATGTTTATCTAAGAGATATTATCATTTATTAAAAGAAGTTTTATTTATATATATACTCGTGGATTTTGCTTTCTCAACTTTAGAAAAAATGGCAGATATTTAAATATTAAGATATTTCATGTACCACTTATAAAAGCAGGTATGATTGTATTACGAAAAGTCTGGTGGATTGGACTTCTGTACTAAGAGAGCTTTATACAAAGTTTGACAAGTGATATCGAACTGAAAACTTCCTTGTCTACGAAAGGAATTTAAAAAGTTGTTGCAATTAAATCGTAGGCTCAAAAGAAAGTAAGTATAAATTTTATGTGCATACATACAGACACACCTATACACACACATACATGTCCATGCATTTACACTACATACACACACACACACACATATATATATATATATATATATTACGTACAAACAGACGCACGTGTACAAACACATACATGCCCATGCATTTATACGTGCATGTACACATACATATACACACACATATATTTATAAAATATGTAAATAAATGCACTTATATATATATCCACGGTAAACTCACACATGCATACATGCACGTACGCCACGTAGTTTTGGGAAATTAAATAAGCTATTAAATTAAGAAACTAAAAAGAAATTAAAAGAAATAAAATAAGAAATAATATTAAAATAAAGTAATAGTAATAAAATAAGAAATAAATTAAAAGAGAAATAAAAAATTAATGCATATATAGGTTGATGAAAAGTAAAAATCTCTGAGTACGACAAATTTAATGTTTCAATTTGTAAAAAAAAATCTTTCTATTTCACTATTTATCATTGAAAAATGTTTTCTTTTAAGCCAATAATATTTTGCGCCATTATACACTGGTGGACAAAATTAAGAGATGGAAGAGATTTTCCCAAATATCTCAAAAAATACTGAATATAAATAAATGAAATTTAGTATGGATATAGCTTATTCCATGATAATAAAGTATGCAAAACAAAGATGAAAGTGCCATTCACTGGCATGACCTATTGCCAATAAATCCAATGTAGTCTGAACTTAAGGATAAAAGATGTCAATAAAAGTGAGGCTTGTACAGTGTGTGTTGCCTCTAGTATGGTGTATGGTCACCCCTGACAGACAGACAGCATCCACAACGAGTATGCATGCTGTTAATAAGGGAGTTAAGGAGGGCTCGTGGAAGACCCTCCCATTCTTCCACCAGAGCAATTTTTAACTCTAGAATGTTTCTGGGGGAAGGTTGGCGCATCGTAATAGCTCTCCCAAGAGCATCCCAAGCATGTTCAATAGGATTCAGGTCAGGGTATTTGGCTGACCAATCCATTCGTTGATTATCCTCGCATTCCAGATACTCATCAACCATGAGAGCCCTATGTGGTCGCGCATTGTCGTCCATAAAAATGAACTCAGGGCCTACAGCGCCCCTGAAAAGACGCACATAGGGCTCTAGGACCTCCTGCCTGTACCTCTGGGCATTCACGGAACCATTGTCAAACACATGGAGCGGTGTGAGGGTATCTTGCATGATCCCTGCCCAAACCATGACTCCTCCACCATCATAATGGTCCCTTTCGATAATGTTTCTAGGATGGTATCGGGTTCCAGGTTCCCTCCATATCAATAACCGTCCAGAATCAGGTTGTAGACAGAATCTGGACTCATCGGTGAAGAGAACATTAGCCCATTGAAGCTGTGTCCAATTTTGATGTTGTCCGCACCATTCTGCACGCGCTCTTTTGTGGGAAGGAGGGAGTGGGATGCAAATAGCGGGCTTCCTGGCATACAGCCCTCTTTCATGAAGTCTCCTGGAAACTGTCTTACTCGAAATTGATGTTCCTGTAGCAGCCGCTAGACCCCTAGACAATAGAGGGGCTGTAGCCGTCCTCTGGCGCTTAGCTGAAAGGAACAAATGCCGGTCTTCATTGGCCGTTGTAGCCCTCGGGCGATCTTGTCCTGGTCGTCTGCATACTGTCCCACTAGTTTTAAATTGACTCCACAAATTGGAAATGGCGCTTGGTGTTATATCCAATTCCCTAGCAACCTGAGCTTGGGACTGGCCTGCCTCAAGTCTACCCACAATTCTCCACCTCATACTTTCGTCTAAACGATGATGTTCACTCATTTCACCTAAAAACAAGCAAGAAACAACAAGATTATTAAAAAAATACACTAAAATCTGCAACTGTGTTGAAGAGTGGAATGAGATGAACAGCTCGATGTGGACTTTTATACCTCCTGCTGGCTTAGCAACGTCCACAAGAATACGTAAACTTATCTCAGGGCCAATAGCGCTACAGTGACCATATATGGCAATCAACTGTTCAGGTTGTGTGCGGTATTTTTAGAGAAATGTGCGAAAATGCTTTCCATCTCTTAATTTTGTCCACCAGTGTATTTTCCAAGCTGTTGATTTTGTTTTTTTATTTCCTTTTGTCATTTATAGCATCGCTTCTCAGACATGTGGGCCACAATCCATAAATCGTTTTAAGTTTTAACATGCTTATTTTCTTTTCTCTGAAATTAAAAAAAAATGATGATAAAAAAAATTTAGTAATTATTATATAATGCTTACTTTATCACTTTGACAAAAATATTTATTGTTTATTTCATTGAAGGTCCTTTCACATAAAAACGTGATTTCGAAAGAAAAGAAGAAAGCCAGGAGTGGGACTAGAACCCACAAACAATCAGGTTATTCAAAGCCGCCGACGTCTACCAAGCGCATAAACCTTTCAAGAGATTCAACATATATGTACATATATACAAAACCACCGCCATCCCCATCACCGGACCACTATTCATCCTCGATGTTAACATTCAACAGAGCACCTGACAGACGCCGGCAACCCTTGAGAACCTGACGCCATAACCATTCGGCCATCCTGGACGACAAACTGTTCTCATGTACTTATCAACTTAAATGAAACCTCTGAATTAATGTGATACGTATGATTTGGTTTGTCGCTCTACGGTCATTTTGTGCACAATTTAGGCTAATTAGACCGGGACCTACAGTTTACCGTGGATTCCGAACTCCTAGCAAACATCCATGCCACCTGCCAGGATTCGAACCAATGTAATACGTAAGAAACTAGACAGCTAAGTAGGTAGGTAGTTAGTTAAGGGTTGGTCATGTGTTATTTTATAGCGCATGGGTCAGTTTGAAGCAAACTGCCCCAAAGAATAGTTAATATATAGATAAAATCTATTTTAAAAAGAACAAGTAATATAAAAAAAAATTTAAAATTCAATCCCTCCTTTTTTTTCACTGCATTGCAGAAAGTCCTTTATAAATAATTTTCATTCATTTTAAGTTTATCTGGCGCCATCTATGGGTAGATATGTGCAACTTAAATCTAAAAAAAACGAAAATTAATTAATTAAATTTGATTAATGAATTACTATTTGAAAAAAATGTATTAACATCAAGTGTCCTCCACTACAAGCTCAAAAAAAGTGTATTGGATGAATAAAAAGTATTTTATGAACGATTGAAAGTTTGAAAAAGATATATATAAGGAGAGTGTGAACTAATAGGAGGAATTGAATAAAAACGCCTTCCCATTGGTTTTAAGGAATTCGACATCAATGTTATTTTAAAAAATTAAATAAATGTTTATTATCTTTAAAATTCAATACATTTATAGGTTAATGAAAAGTAAAAGTCTCTTAGTAAGATATATTGAATATCTCAATTTTTTTGTAAAAAATTTCAATATTTATCATTAAAAAAAATTTTTAAAGTCATTAATATTCATCGCCAATTTATTTTCCATGATGTTTTTTCTATTCTTTTTTTTTCCTCAGCCATGTAGACCAAAATCCATGAATCGTTTTAAGTTTTAACATGCTTATTTTCGTTTCTCTGAAATTAAAAAGATGATAAAAAAAAATTCAGTAATTATCATGCTTACTTTATCACTTCGATAAAATATTTATTGTTTATTTAATTGAAGGTCCTTTTACATAAAAACGTGATTTCGGAAGAGAAAAATAAAGGCAGGAGTGGGACTCGAACCCACAAATAATCAGGCTATTCAAAGCCGCCAACGTCTACCAAGCGCATAAACCTTCCAAGAGATTCAACATATATTTACATATGTACAAAACCACCACCATCGCAATCACCGGACCATTATTCATCCTCGATGTTAACATTCAACAGAGCACCTGACAGACGCCAACAACCCTTAAGAACCTGACGCCATAACCATTCGGCCATCCTGGACGGCAAACTGATCTCATGTACTTATCAACTTAAATGAAACCTCTGAATTAATGCGATACGTATGATTTGGTTTGTCGCTCTACTGTCATTTTGTGCACAATTTAGGTTAATTAGACCGGGACCTACAATTTAAAGTGAATTCCGAACCCCTAACAAACATCCATGCCACCTGTCAGGATTCGAACAAATGTAATACGTAAGAAACTAGGTAGCTAAGTAGGTAGTTAGTTAGTTAAGGGTTGGTTATGTGTTATTTTATAGAGCATGGGTCAGGTTCAGACAAACTGACCCAAAGAATATTTAATATATTGATAAAATCTATCTTAAAAAAGAAAAAATGGAATCTGCTCTTCAAATTTCAACTTATCATGTGTGAACATTCGAGAACGGGTGAATAAACTCATGAATATGCCAATGTTTAATAATATTGCAAGAGATATATAAATCAATTGATTGGAATACTAGAATTTTGAATAGATCAAGAACTTCATGAAGAAGGAATTGTTCAAAAATATCTAAAAGAAAATTCAAAAGTAAATTAAATGTAATCATAAATGAAGAATGAATTATTCCCAATTCTACAAAAAGCCTTGTCACATTCAATAGCCTGTAGAATATATCAAAGTTTGAATATTCTAGACGTAAATGAAGAATGAAATATTCCAAATTCCACAAGAAACGTTATCACATACAATACCCAAAAGAATGTATCAATGTTTGAAAATTCTTGGCATATAGGAAGAATGAAGTATTCCAAATACAATAAGAAGCACTATATAGCTCAATAGGCACTGAAAAAAGCCAAAAGTGATCAATATGAAACTTTAAAAGAAGGAATGGATCAACACACTACGAGTACTTAAATCCCTTCTCAGCTATGTACACCAAAATCCATGAATCGTTTTAAGTTTTAACAAGCTTATTTCCGATTCTTTGAAATTAAAAAGATGATAAAAAAATTCAGTAATTATAATGCTTACTTTATCACTTTGATAAAATATTTATTGTTTATTTAATTGAAGGTCCTTTCACATATAAACGTGATAGCGAAAGAAAAAAAGGAAGCCAGGAGTGGGACTCGACCCCACAAGTAATCAGGCTATTCAAAGCCGCCGACGTCTACCAAGCGCATAAACTCTTCAAAAGATTCAACATATATTTACATATGTACAAAACCACCGCCATCTCAGTCACCGGACCATTATTCATCCTCGATGTTAACATTCAACAGAGCACCTGACAGACGCCAGCAGCCCTTAAGAACCTGACGCCATAACCATTCGGCCATCCTGGACGACCGGCTATTCTCAAGTACTTATCTACTTAAATAAAATTTCTGAATTAATGTGATACGTATGATTTGGTTTGTCGCTCTACGGTCATTTTGTGCACAATTTAGGCTAATTAGACCAGGACCTACAGTTTACCGTGGATTCCGAACCTCTAGCAAACATCCATGCCACCTGCCAGGATTCGAATCAATGTAATACGTAAGAAGCTAGGTATCTAAGTAGGTAGTTAGTTAGTTAAGGGTTGGTTATGTATTATTTTATAGCACATGGGGCAATTTGAGACAAACTGCCTTAAAGAATATTTAATATATAGATAAAATCTATTTTAAAAAGAAAAAATGAAATCTGCTCTTCAAATTTCAACTTATCATATGTGAACATTCGAGAACGGGTGAATAAACTCAAGAATATGCCAATGTTTAATAATGCAAGAGATATATGAAGCAATTGATTGGAATACTATAAGAATGGCCAAATTCAATAGGCACATGAATATAGCAATGTTGAATAGATCAAGAACTTCATGAAGAAGGAATTGTTCAAGAATCTCTCAATTAGAAAATTAATTAGAAGTAGGATTAAGAATTAAAAATAATTAATTAGAAGTAAGATAAAGATAAGAATTAAAAAATTAAAGTAGGATATTTAGAAGTAATTAAATAATTAGTAGTAGAATATTTTTGGCCAAAAGATATACTAAAGAAAAAGTGAAATAAAGTAATTATCCAACTATTTAGATGAAGATAGAGATTTATTAGAAAGTGATAATTTTTATTAAGAATCACTACATATAAACGATTCATACATATGTCTAAAAATGCATTGCACCTTTGTCAGTTGTTATCAAATGCCGATCTTTTCACCTATTTAACGTTTGAGTTAGAAATTACGAAAATTTCCCCATCCTTAAACACGCGAATCTCATTTGCATTTTTCCATAAATTTAGAAGCTTAATTTATTTCGTAAATGAATGCTGAAGATGTTATCCGTTCTATTTTAAATAACCTTAATGTAAACAAAGAGTCTTTTGTGAAAAGTTAAACAAGCAACAACCCATGAGAAAATGATATCTCCTATTTGAAAACCAGTGAAAAGGTTCCTTAAGTGATTTAATTCTAGATTATCTCATTGATGAACCTGCAAACTCTACACTAGATGCCCTCAAGTTGAGTTCTTGAAATATAAAGCAGATTCGCAGGTGAATTTCTTGAAGACACATTACACGTTATTTGGAATAATTTCAGATCATTAAATATAAAATAGCCCGTCAGTGGCAAGGAGCGCTGTTAGTGAACATTAAGTGAGCATTAGTGAGCAGCATGCTCGTTACGCTGCCAGCTTTGTTGCAGACACTGTATCAAAATCGATTAGACTTGATAGCTTCTGTGATGCTCAGCATCTTGCCTTGTGAGTCGAAATACCTGGTGGGAGTCTTCCAGGTTTTTCTCCCATATGCACAGTTTCTTAAGTGATTTAATTCTAGATTATCCCACTGATGAACCTACAAACTCTACACTAAATGCCATCCAGTTGAGTTCTTGAAATTTAAAGTAGATTCGCAGTTGAATTCCTTGAAGACACATTATACGGTTATTTGGAATAATTTCAATTTATTAAATGTAGAGTAACCGATTCGTGGCTTAGTGATAACGGGCGCTGTTGATAAGCGTTAGGGCTGAGGTTCAATATGCTGCCGACACTGCTGTAGACACTGTTTCAAAATCGCAGAAATACTATGGTGTTTCTGATGCTGAGCATCTTGCTTCGTTAGTGTCTGGAATGCCTGGTGGGTATCTTCCGAGTTTTCTCCCATACGATACGCAAATACGTGGTAGTTCCCCTAAAAATCCTCCCGGAAGACACTGCCCTTCTTCTTCAGCGACTCAGAGCCAAGACTCAGAGCCTGCCCCTTTCCCTCCATCAAAGAGTAGACTGCTCATGAAGTGTCCGTCCCGCGCTGTCTGACACTGAAGATTAGTCTCAACAACAACATATGTAAAATAAAGAAATATAAATGTAAATAAATGCAATAGAAAATGTAAACCTTTCAACTTTTATGTGAAATTTAAATAATTAACAACCCAAGAGAAAGTGATAACTCCTATTTGTAAACAATTTCTTAAAATATGAGATTATCTCACTGATGAAAGTGCAAACTCTATCCTAAATTCCATCCTTAGCACTGAAAGCAGATTTCCGTTTGAATTTGTAAAGGAAATAGTGCTTGTTTATTTCGAATCGTTCCAATTCCCTCAAAACAAAATTAAGGGGATTCGAATCTTTCTTTCACATGCGATTTAAATTAATAAAATATACTACAATCATTTTTTTGCTTTTTTAAGTTTCCATGTCAAATATATCATATA